TTTCTGTTTTTGTGGGTGAAGCTGCAACGGGTCATCTAGTATTCAATGTACTCTCTCAGCCATTGGAGGGATCTTTTGGCTAGGTCGTCTTCGTCTGAAATGGGAGAGGGGGCCCAGGCTGTAGAGTTCCCAGTAGATCGGTCACATTCCATCTGGGTACCCTCTGATGGGGGGGGGTTGGGGTTGGTTGCTGATCAGCTACCAGTGGTTCCCCTGGTCCCTTTGTTGCCTGTGTTCGGTACTCTTCTCTTCTTCGGGTCTGGTCCACTCCCATCTTTCGTTTCATCTGCTTCTGTTGTTATTGTGTTGGCTGCCTGATTCAGTTTCAAGCTTTTACTCAGTTCTTGTTTCATTTCATCCTCTTTGAGGCTTAGGAAGGCTTCAATTTTGGCTTGTATTTTTTGGGGCTGCTTCTGGTATTCTTCCTCAATCTGTTCCCGAACAGAGTCCAGGTCCCATAACAGGTTTTCCCTTACCTTCTCCTCCAGAATCACCCGTGAGTCGTTGGGTGGGATCGTATTGGTCTTGGCTGGGTTCCCTGCCTCTTTGCCTGTTTCTTTCTTCTGCCATCTGCTGTCAGCAGGAGGGAAGATGTCTGGCTTCTTCGTTGTTGGCTCCTTGTCAGTAAAGTGCCAGACCCATTCCGGGTCCTCTAGGTTGTTATCGAAGACCCAACCATCATATGCCGAGTCTACTGTGAACCAGGTTCCCCGGGCTTCTTCAACTTCGATCAGCATGCTGGGGAGCAGCTTCCTCTCCTTCTGATTTTTGGGGAACTTTGGGCATGTTGGGTCCGATCCCAGATGTCCCCTTTCCCTGCATCTGAAGCATATGGGGGGACGACTTAGTTGAGACAGTGACCTCCAGGACTCTGTCTTCAATGTGGAATTCCCATTCTTGTTGAAAAAACGGCGTGTCGTCGGCTTTCACCTAGAGAATGGCTGTCATCGTTCCCACATGTGGGCAGAGAAAATCTGGCATTGGCAGAATGAGCTTCAGAATTTTGTTGGCGGGGTATTGTCTCTCCAGTCTGTCTATCTCTAAACCGTGATATCCTGCCTGGATTCTGTTGAACTGCACCAAGAATTGCTCTTTGAGCAAAGTCTGTTTGTATGACGCCGAGAAGGACGGCGTGGGTCGCGCATTGGTCTGCTTTTTCCACAGATGGATAGTGCAAATCGACCTGTTGCAGTTTCTGGACCTCATCTCAGCTGCAATTCTTGCGTTATCTTCTGAAATGAAGATCACCATCGCTCAGTTGCGGCCCACATTGATCATGGAAAAAGATTCGCCTGTTGTTTTCAGCTTGTCCTCTTTCCCAATTGTTTCCGCAATCCATTTCTGTTTTTCCGCTGGCATCAGTTCTGCTCCGTTCCTTGCGAAGTTAAAAACTACAGCGTGTCTTCCGTGGAGGTCGTCGAGTTCCGGGACCTTCCCATCTGGGTATTTCCAGATCACAGTTTCTTCTTTCTTTCCCTCGGCGTTCGGTTGTTTTTTTTATTACCATTTCGCCTTGGACTTTGGTCTTCTCAATTAAGAATTTCAGTGCTTCGTTCTCAATTACTTCCGTGGATGTTTTGTTTGTTTGGGACAAACGGCCATAGGCCGCCATCGATTGCAGAGTCTGCTTGAATGTGGCTGGGAACCTGCCCGGTCCCTGGGCTCTGCATCTTTGGTCTCCTGAAGTCGTTGTGAGAGCTTCTGGCCCAGTCGGCAGTTAAATAAGGTTGGGATAAGGTTGGGATGAAGTGTGGGCTGTGGGGTGGGTTGGGAGAGTGGGTGTAGGGAGGGGGGGGGCGTGGTAGTCGTGTAGTGACTGTCGGAATGTTTACCACGGTCTGGGTTAGTCAAGAGACATAGGCGGGTGAACATAGGCAGATCGGGATGTTTACCACGGTCTGGGTCAGTCAAGAGATATAGGAGGGTGGACATAGGCAGATCGTCTTAGGATTGAGAAAAAATTGGGCAGTGTTTGGCCTCCCCACCTGGGGAACGAGCTTCTGCACGCAGGGGCAAGAAGTGGATGTGGGGGGATCGATTCGGAAAAAGAGAAAATAGAAATTATTGGACAGCGTTCGGCCACCCCACCTGGGGATCGCGAGTTTCCCAGCTGAAAAAGGACTAAGAAGTTCTGGACAGCGTACAGCCTCCCCACCTGGGGATCGAGAGTTTCGAGGCCGGTGATGACTGCTGATTTTGAATAAAGACAAAAGCCGCTGGATTTACGATAGATGACAGGGGAGCGAGATAGAATGGAGGGGGAGCTCTTGGGATTGGGATTTATTTGAATGTGGGAGGGATCAGATTGGTATGGATATTCGTGTTCTATGGAGCAGGGGTTGAAGTGTGTGACGAAGACAGACTGGGCGGGTGAAGGTGGTTTTACTCGAAGGGAAAGTAGGGGCTGGGTTTGGTTGGCGGGTGGAGATGATGTCTGGGGGGGGG